ATAGGGATCAGACCGACAAGCCGAGGATAAAGCTTATGTTAGCACCGATAACCATTGCAGCGCATATGTGATATGGAATATATTTCCGTATTAAATAATTACCTAGAAGATAGTTTAGATGATAACCATAAAGTAATTAATGTATTTTTCCAAAGTACTAGCATGCATGCCACGGTCTGTCATGCTGTGTTACATCTGAATTTTACTGACTGAAACCTAGCTAGACTAAATTTTTTTTTCTGTATCTTCCGCTGTGCCTTCATTTTTGTAAAATAAGAACCTAGGGGGCAATTCATTCACCATACAAACAAAACATGAAAGTATTTACCCACTTTTTAATTCAAATAATGAGCCTTTTGTCGCTAAAACCCTGCGCACGCTAGTACAATTCTGTTGACAACAGTTTGCAGCGGTAGTGGGTAGTAGCCTCCATGACAGTGATTAGAACGTTATGTAAAATAACAGCGGGTTGACAGTAGTGAATGCATTATCTAGCATAAACAGCTTACGAACTCTGGGTTCGAATTGGGGGACGGTGAGAGGGGGGTGGGGGGGTGGGTGTGGGGTGGGATTTTCTTCTTCTTCTTTCAGCCACATTCACCCTCAGTATATGACCGGCATCTTTCATAAAAAAGTACCTCTCCCTATCCTGGTTCAGTAACTGATTAAAGCGACTAGTATGGAATAAGTTAGGTAAGTGAATAATGTGAATCAAGAGCGTCGCTTGGCAGATGCTCTGCTGGCTGTGTAAACCAACAGAAATAGAACCCCAGCAACCTCATCTAGAGAGTTGCGTTAAAAAAAATCCTTAACAACAACAACGCCCTCGGGCCCCCTTAGCCGCCGTACACACATAAGTGTTCGAAATGCAGGAACGTATGGTTCAGCCAGCATTGACACTTCTCTTGAAGGGTATATCTGATCAACACTTTATATTTGCTTGATAAAGATTTCAGTATTAAAACAAATTATGACAACAGGCCGGGAGCTGAGCAGATAAAGTAAAATAAAGGAGTGAAGGAAAAATCAAAAGACACAACCATATAAGCGGCAGTCTGATCTCTCATAATGAACCTGTGAGCACAAAAAATACGAAGGCCGGATTGTCCTCTTAAGGGAACTGATCGTTTACGCCCATGCTCACAAAAGGACCTCTCGCAAGTCATGTTATGTCCCAGAATTCTGCTAATCGACCTTTATATTTTTGACCCCATGTCGGACCCTGTGTTTTTTCTCTGAATACCTAAAATTAGAGGAGCTGCGTACCAGGAGCTCGGGAGCGTACTAGGAGCAGCGTACTATTGAATTCTCGGGTAAACGAACTGCTCGACACCCAACCGACTGTGTTTTTTGTTACCTCAAAGTAAAATCAAGACCCCAGGATGATGGGACATTACCGACTCCTGTAGTAATCGCCCTCAGTCCTCTGCGCTTAGGTGAAACTAAGCGACGTCTCAAGGACAGATTTAACGAACACAGACGTGCACTAGAAAAAACTAACATTAAATCTAAACCCACTACTGTTTCTGAACACTTTCTCTGTCACTCTAAGCATTCTCATACTGACATGCAGTTAATCCCACTAGAGAAAATTCATTCTTCACGTGACTCAGTTCGTAAGGCCAGGGAGTCGCATTTGATAGGTAAGGCCATGACTCTTGAACCTCATGGCCTAAACCGCAGTGACGAATTATTTTTCCTTTCCAGTTTTTATGTTGTAACGTCATTTCCGCCTCTCCCTTTTATTGCGACATTCTCCATCTATATAATATTGTGATTGCTACATAAGTTCAGTAACATCTGTAAACCTAAAGAAGGCTGGTATGGCCAGCCGAAATATTGTTATAAAAAACAATACACGTTGTTTTAAATCAGCTTTGCAGTAGTCTTTGGACTTCTCGTTCATGCTATTTTAGTAACTTCCGGGTTAGTGACGAGCGATTAGAAAACTTATGGGGGGACAAACAAAGTACAAAAAAATTAGTCGTGTAAGGGAAAATTAAATAAAACAAATTCATGCACGAAAGAAGAAAGAAAACCTAAAAAAATTTATGCACTGGCCTAAAAAAATTGATACAAGA